CAGGAGATTGCTGGAAGTGAAGGATATAGCAGTCAGCAAGGTCAGAGTTTTCGTGTTTGTATAATGCACATGCTTGTATGAGAGAGTGAATGAACGAGTGCATCACTGGTCATGTGAGCATGCCAGAGAGAGAGCGAACGAGCTTCATTCATGTGCCGCCTGTATCCTTTCCTCAGAACAGAGTGTTCCAGCGATCCTGCGGGACAGAGCAGCGCACCATGTGACTCCTCTGCGCTGCTCTTCGGCTATGGAGCCTGACAGCTAACCTCCACCACAAACACACACTGCGCAGACATCCAAAGCATTTTTATCAACAGGTCTGCTTGCAATCAGTGCTAATTTACCGCAGACCAGCGATCTGGAAAACAAAACTGCATCAAATTAAATACACGGAAATAAAACTTCATGCAATTTAGTTCCATGACATTCCAGCATGTTGCGTTTTGCTTGATTTTGCTAGTAACCTCAGAACAAGCAAACTTTGGCAGACGCATTAAACAGGCTGTGGTCAGTGATGAGGGGAATGTTTAGACAATGTGCTTTGAGAGGGGGGCGATGTCAGAAGCTGGCCCTTTTCTTTGTGATCCATTCATTAGTGGAGTAAACAGGATATGATGTCACCCTTTTAGTTATCCTCGCCTCACACACAGCCCTTTTTTTTAAGAAGTCACAGCCTCGGAAGACTGGTGCGGGGGGAGGCAAAACTTTTACTGCGGCACGGGTTCTCTAGAGGGGAAAGAGAGAGAGAGAGAGATGATGAGACTGAGAGAGACAGCAGCAAAATGGAAAAGTAAAAGTACAACAGGACACAGACAGAGGGGGGAAGACAGTAAAAGCTATTATGGAAACAGAAAGTGGCAGAGACAAAGTGTAAAAAGGAGAGGAAGAGAGGAGGGTGATTGGGGTCATCCTGGTCGCCAGCCAAGACAAACAGAATGAAGCCAGTTTCCCAGCCCAGGGCTACACCGAACTCTCCCATGCACTTCACACACACAATTGCTAATAAACACTAACCTCTCCATCCTCAAGCCCAGCCCAGGCTGCACACACTAGAGGGAATTTCAAATCTGACTCAACGTGGCTACAGCACATGACTACAAAAACACACAATATCAATTAAAAGGGTTCCCACAGTTTTTGACTGGTTCATTTTTGACCATTGACCTTTAAAGTGGAAAAGAAAAGAAACTGTTGGGATGAATTTCCAAATAAATGCCAGGTAACGGCCTTTTGAATTCAGTGTTGTTAATGTTACCTAAAACAAAAAACTTTTAAAAACCCTTCCATTAATTATAATAAAGCTAAATTCCTTAAATAAAAAAAATGTAAGCTTAAAAATCTTAAAGGGGCCATGACATGATTTTTTATTTTTATTATTTTACTATATTCCTTGAGGTTCACTTCTAATGTTAATATTTTTTTGTACACAAACAAACATACACACACACATATATATATATAGGTATGTATATCATAAAAGTATCAACAATCGCCATTGCATTTGAATTACTGTTTTGAAACCATTATCCATATAAACCCATAATTTACAGAAAAAGCATGTGAAATAATTTACTTACATGTTTGTGATGCTGGTTCATTCAATAGAGTTGTCTGCTTTATCTTTCAACAAAAGTGTCTTTGCAAACTCTACATAATACTGTGCCTTGTTTATAAAACAAAATGCTCCGATATAATCCGCTTGTTCTGTGTGGAGTATGTCAGAAACTAAACGCGCATCTGCATCCAGTGTAGACGGCGTCAGTGATTATAATAGGTTCTATTAAACAGTGCTTATGTCAGACGTTAAGTGACTAAGTCAGTAGGCGGGGCCTATGGTGCAATTATTGGTCAAATATATTTGCCCGTGTGACATCACAGATCCCACAATATGAAAAAACTACACATTTTTTGAAACTTAAATAGAAGCTTTGTACATAATTAGGCTATTAAACTTGCAGGACGTTTTTAATGGTACAGCGTTTTAAACGTTTTTAATTTAAGTCCTCTTACATGATTAAAGATGAAGGAAAATGTAATTGTTCATGTCATATTCCCTTTAAATGAAAATTAGAAACTGTTGCCTAGATAACTAACTGAAATAAAATAAGTTGATGAACTAAAATCCCATAAATTCCATTAAAGGTAAATACTTTTATTTAAATAAAAACTAATACAAATGACAGCACATTACAATATTACTAAAACTAACATTAAAATAAAAACTGAAAATGTAAAAATAATAGCTAATTTGAAATGAGATTGAAATTAACAATTACATGTAACTGAGATAGATATGGGTCATTAGACAATTAGAAAAATAAATGATCCATGGCTGACTGTAAACAGGGTATAGTGGCATTGCTTTTGCATGATGCTGAAGTCAAAAGTCATACTTTTTATCTTACAAATGTCCTCAATAATATCCTCAACAAAACAGGTCACTGTTTTGCTGTTGGTTTGGGGGCAATTTTTTAATATATATAATGTATGAAATTATTTTAACTTGTTGAGGATTTTGTTAACTTAATTCAACAAAAATAAATGACTGAGTTAGATCACTTTAGTCGAGAACTTCTACAAAGCCGTTACACTCCAGAAAAGTTTCAGTGCAATGATCCAGTAGCGAATTCAATCAAACAATCAGTCCAAAACAGTGCTAATGTAAAGAAAACCAACCAGCCTGATCACATCAGAGATGGCAGAGAGGATAGAGACTCATGTTGCATTTTCAGTGAATTATTCATTCCACTGTGCGTTTATCTTTTAAAACAAGAGCTGTCATATTCTGTGATTGCTTCTGAAAAGCGTGAGCCCTTACGCATCGCTGTGAGAAATACAGACTGAACGCAACGTCACAACATCTCAGCGCTGTATGGCCAGATGATAGGCAAGATACGGTTCTCGGCTTGATTAAGCAAACCAGCGACTTGCTAGTGACGTTTTGATAGATGAGGATTGCAATGAGGTAAAGATGGTGTGACGATGTACAGGAGTCGTAGAGTAAGCATGTTATAATTGATTCGCAAACAGACCATGTATGTGTGCTCTGAACGCACTGATCATACATTTTATTTATGCACAGACCCATTTCAGTACATTCGCATTGTTTCCACACACATTCAGGATAATGTTTTGATTTGTCATGTGTATTTGCTGTGTTTAATCATTCTGATTGGATCCGTGTAAGAACTGTAAGAAGTATATGCAGGTCGAGGCAGTTGGTAAGGGTTTTTTTTGACATTTCCATGTGTGTCCTGTTACAACTTGAATTGTCTAAAATGTAAACAAGCTCTTGCATTGTTGCATTGTACACATACTAGTATAGACTGTGAATTCTGAAAAGTTCTGTAATGTTTTTTTTTTTATCATTGTTTGTTGTTTTTTCATGCATGTATTTATCAATAATATGGACTACTTATAACATTGGGTTATTTGGTGTTCTTTTGGAGTCTCCAAGTGTCCTTTTTTGGAAAGATAGCTACATTTACCAGCTACATTTACTATTCTTTTGTGAGAATAGTCTGTTAATCTGATGGCTTTCTTGATAATTTCACGATGAGTGTGCGATTAATCGGTCCAAAGGGTGCGATTAATTATTCACAGCCCTAATAATAACCTATTCACTAAATTGGTGACTAAAGTAACTGAGTCCGCCCATACATTAACACATCCTAATAAGCTCAAGCATGTCAGACCAATGGCCGTTCAACCAATCAGGGGCGCGGGAATTCAGGTCCACTGTAGCATACACATTCAGAGTTAAGGGCATTTAACAATGACACTGGTTAAATTGTCTAGTAGGCTCTCCTACTTGACTGCTGTATCAAGTGTTGGATCCCATGAACTTTGCATTTATTTAGTTATAATCAAGAGCGATTTTGTGTAGTCAAGCTACAGTGTTCACCTCTTTGTGTGATATAGCCTGCTATCATGACGTAATAGATTAGTAATCAAATATTTGAACTTCTAAAAGTATACCGATATGACGATACAGGTATATCCCATACGTATGGACATCATATCTTTATCATTATCATATCATCCACATTTTCTACAGTATTGGGGGGGGGATCAGACAATCTCACCTGCGCATATGCAACTTCTTTCCACTTGAATGCTTAGACTTAAAGCATTTACATGACATTGTAATATGGAGAATTTTCACTTTAGTCTGACTGAAATAAAACTTTTAAAGTGCATGTAAACAAACTACACTCCCATTGCATAAAGTTACATTTTCACAATCACTTGTGTCGCCAAATCACAAACTTTCCTTGAAAACGAGTGACTTTTGGTCGGTGCACATTTCTGTCAGCATGAACGCCTCTTTAGAAACTGTATGCACACTTATGGATGCACATATAGGGAAGGTACAAGCATAGAGGCACTTGAATGCCTCAACAAGTGACAATGACACAGGAAGGAAAAGCAAGACAACCTGAATGAAGAACCCTAGTCACGACGTCTCATAAGGACACCTAGAGCGGCTTCCCATATGGATGTCAAATAACTTTGACTTATAATAACTTTGAGTGTGCTTAATTGTACACAACAGCCCTTGCAGTCCATAGTAATCAAAAAAAGACTAAAATATCGCTTGCTTTCCAGACATAAATGATCAAATAAAATCATCAAACCATAATCTATTCAAAACAGAGAATTATGCATCAGAATGAGAGCATTTGTAGAAAACCCATCAAAGGTAGCAGCCTGACACGTCAGAGCAGTGCAGTGAGAAATGATGGATACCAGTCTGAATGCAGTTGCTCCTCCGGCAGACATACTAAAACACACATGCACGTTCCCTGAAGCACCACACTAGCACTAAACACAGCTCTCGGACACGCGTGCAAAGAGGCACACCCACACACCGGCTTCCACAGACACTGACTAAAGCCACGCCGTGGCCCGCCCATGCCGTCTACTGAGGCACGCGCGTACGCAAGGTCTTTCTTGACCCGGCTAGTTGACCAAGACGCAGGCAGAGACAAGCTACTTACCTCTCTTCTGGACCCAGCCTTCCTTAACGATGGTGACATCGCTCATGTTGCCTCAGTCACACTGTACTCGCCGCTCCTACACACCAGCTCCTGAAGGAGTGAGGAGGGGGGGGAAGGAGGAGAGGAGAGGAGAAGGGAGGGGGGTCAGCTCTCCCAGCCTCAGCGTCTCTCTCCCTCCCTCACTGCTGCGCTCTGTCTCTCTCTCTTTACGTTGTTCTCGTTGGCTGCCTCTCTCTCTCGCTTCGCTCTCAAAGGCGTTGTGTAGCGGTTTTCCCCTCCTCCCGTTGCTTTTCTCTCTTGTGCTCTCGGTGATGCCGTCTCCCTCTGTCTCTCTAGATCTTCCCACTCCTAGATAGTGACTCAGCCTGGAAGAAACATAAAAAAAGAAGCGTGTGGATTTTTCACTCATTTTTCCTCCTAACTCCCCTCTTCTTACACAATCTGACAGACAGTCATTGTAAAAGCAGACATACAAGCCCCCTGTTGCCTCTCTGATTTCCCTGTCTGTCTGTTTTTTTTCTCTCTCATTCTTACTCTCAACATGCACAACTGTTTAACACTTACGAGCAACACAGTCACTTGCAACAAAGTCTGACGAGGACAACTGAACTGTTGTGTGAATAAATAAGCAAACAGGAAGTCCCATGGTAAATGCAGTTGCTGCCAAGGAGTGAATTAAGCACTATGAAAAACAAGGGTGCGGATTCATTTATCAAATACAGGGCTCAACACTGAGGACTTCTTCAACTGGCTCGGTCAGGCCAGTGGTGCTTATTTTTATTTGCCTTGCCAAGTAAATTGGTTAAAAGAATATTTAAATAATATGAAATAATTTTGATGTATTGCATGGGCCCCATATTCTGGGGACCATGAAATTTGGCGAAAATTTTAAAAAAATATACTGGCAGGGAAAGAGTTAGAAAGTTGCAACTAAATAAGTGTAAAATGAGTTACAACTGAAATTTTTATCAGATCTGATATCAGATTGAAAAAAAAAACGAGATAGCTTAATTTTTAGAATGAGGAGATACAAAGATTCAAAATACGAGATTACTAGCATCCAAGATAAGGACACATCCATAGATGCATTTTATGCTTAAAACAGAAAACTACAATTATGTGAAAACCACAAATTAGTCTTAAATGTCCAAACACAGTCTCAAACACATTCAATAGTTTTATGCACATGTGCGTTTTACAAAAATACAACCAAGCTAAATATGTCCCCCTGATAGAAGTTCATAAATCTAACACATGAGATATGGGATTTCTGAGTGGATATTTGTCTATATTTCCATTCCTTTAAAATGGTAAAGGTACATTAGTTAATCAATTTTTTTTGATTTTTCAGATAAGCTCAGACAGAGTGAATTTAAAGAGGAAAACCAACCATGAGCCTTCAACTGAACTCAGGGAAACAAATGACACTAACTAAGAAAACAGAATGTAAGAAATCACTGAACACGTTTGTCACCACTGAGTGTGAAGCGTGATACTGATAAACAGACATCTGAACACACAATTGGGATGCAGTATTGAGTAGTCTATAACAGAAAGACAAATGACAGAAAGGTTCTTATATTCCCTTTGGATATAATTAACAAATCATGTTTTCCAGACTTTTGGATATAATGACAGAGGGCATCACAGCTACTAACACTGCAGCCCCTAAAGATATGGAGACCATGACAGTGTCCTTAATGTCACAGGGCCAACGAAAAACAACGCCTGCAGGGCTAACTTATAATATACTTTACAGCAAAAGAAATGTGGGCCAGGCAAGGAATATTTAGCATTTTTATTCTAGAATATTTAGGAATATTTGGCTTATTGCGGCCAACTGACAGTACCAACTGATAATTCTGGTTGCGTGCATTTAGCTGCAACCTTAATCTGCTGTTAGCATTGAAAGGAGAGTACGTGATTCAAGGTCCAAAGATATGTCAGAGAAACCCTGTACGTGAGTCAAACAACCCTGGAAGACACCACTTGCCACAACATTGCAATTTTGTAAGTACAAATCCCATTCATTTTCTCTTTAAAGAAATAGATTTTTTTAACGTTAATGTTTAAACCTTTCCATCAAACCTACCTTGAGAACTGAGAAGATTAAGCAATGATATACTACTGTACAGAAGAAGCCCTGAGTCATTGTCCTTACGACTACAACTTTAATAACAATCGCAATATTTAGTTCATGGGTTTCTGCAGTTTGAGTCTTTTTCTACGGCAACTATTTTGCAGTCATCTCTCTGATTAGTTTTCCTACAAGACACTCGAGTAAGAAACCAATCCAGAATCCAGAAAGAACCAGTCACTGACTTCAGAAAATACTGTGCTTTAATCTCACCTCATAGCTTACCAATAAACCTGTGGGTTATGCATAACAAAGCTAACAGCAGTTAACCTGAAGTGAGACAGCAAATGTTTTAGAATACACTTTTGAAGGCGGTGAATATGTACACAAGCAAGCACATCCTTGATGATTGTAGTGGTGGTGCTATAAATCAAACTAATTAAAAGACTAAATGAGATAATGGAGTGTGTTGTTAAAGTACAACACACGTCTCTCAATTATTTGACAATTGTTTCTCCATTTAAAAACCTTCACTAAAAATGATTAAACTCACACGTCGAGCTTCCTCACTCATACATATCAGCAATCAATTCCCAACCCGTAAGACTTTCATTCATCTTCAGAACAAAAATGAAGATATTTGTGATAAAATATGAACAATTCCCCCCCCCCATTGACAGCTACGCAAACCACTTTAACGCTTAAATAAAGAGTGCCTACATATGAATTGAGCGGTTTAGTTCAAATTTTATGAAAAGACATAATCGCTTAATACGCTGAACAATTTAATTTAGGCTTTTATTCACATATAATCATTCATCAACACAGTGTGCACACATCAGTTATGATGAATGGAAACTCAAGCATATTCGCTTGACATGCGAGAGCCAATGAGGTTCATTCTCGTGTTTAACAGAACGTTTGAGCTTTCACAAGTGGTTTGTTCTTGCGCGTTGTGGTAGATTTTTCCCCTTCGCACCTGACTTAGATTGACACCTGAAAATAAGGGTGTCACGTTTTCTGTTTTAAATCGAAATCGACCGAAATTAATTCACAACCTCAGATTCACAGAACTTCGAATTTAAAAAAAATGGAATCGTCGATGCTGCCACGCCCCATGTCATGTGGTCGGTGTGCCGGAAAAAAAAAAAAACATGCGTGTTGAAGTGCTGCGAGTCTATGGTCAACCTCCTCTAACTTAGCTACAGCCATTCAAAAGATAGCATAGCCACTGCAGATGTGGAGACCCATCGACAGAACTTGAACCCCCTCCTCTTTCATTGAAGTGGCAGATGTGGACGTTGGATTTCCGAGTTATGTTGACAACGCGTTTAGACTTAGTCTAGTTTCATTTCCCATATTTGTTATTTATAAACACACACACTCAAAACACACACACTCAAGTTGGGTTGAGCTTCTGTTCACGACTTTCACTGAGTTTATATGTGAATAAAAGGCTAAAGTCAATCTGTTCATTATACGCTCATGTCTCTTTAGAAAATCTGGACTAAACCACTCAATTCATATGGATTAGTTATACAAACTCTTTATGAACTTTGAAGCGTCAAAGTGGAAGTTGTGTGGCTGTCAATGGAGAGTAAAGAACTGGCTCAGGTTTTATTAAAAATATCGACATGTATGTCCGAAGATGAACTAAAGTCTTACGGGTTTGGAACGACATGAGGGTAATTAATGACCGCATTTTCATTTTAGGGTGAACTAACCCTTTAACCTAAAAAAATAAAATGCATCTGGGAAATCCAGAACCATCCACAAACTCAAAATGGACAATAAAATGTCCAGATATACAGAAAAAGACACTAAGCGTGAGGACCATAGTCATTTTCAATGGGTCTGTTGGGATATTCTACTTTACAAACCAATCCTCAACATCGTTTATTCTGGCAGCAGCACAAACTCTCTTTTCCTTTTGCTCCCTTTGAGTGACAGGACACACAATTCCACTGCGTCACTGTCGCAGCCAAGCATCTGCAAGCCTATCGCCGCAGCAATATCTGGGGATGTCCCGAAGCTGCCACACCAAATACAATTTTTCCATACAAATGAGGGGAGCACCCTTGAGATAATCATTTAATTCCTGAGCAGGCCTGGGAAGGAGGGGCTCTCCTGGTGAGCCCAGACAAACTCATGACATGGAGCATCAATCATTCTCAGCGTGCCACGGCACGGAGCAACATCTAAACATCCGCTTTCAATGCAGAATCTACATTTACATACATGCAACTATTCTCGAGTGCATTGTCACAATACCCATTGCTTAAATGAAGGAAAAGGAAAGTAATCCCACATTTTCATGGTAAAACCATCCTAAACTGTTAGAACGTAACTGCCTACGTAACGTGTATCGTTACACCCCTATATATATAAATAAATACTGATACTGAAAATTACTTTTCGCCATCAAAAGTAGAAATTATAATAAAACAGAAGAGCTATTTAAAATTTTACTAATATTTCACAATACTACTGTTTTACAGTATTTTTGATCAAATAAATTCAGCCTTGGTGAGAAGAACTCTCTTTCAAAAACGTTTTAAAAATCTTACAGATGACAAACTACATTTCATGATGTTATGAAAATGTGCATGAAAACTCCAGGCACTGTGTCTATAAATTATTCTGATGAAATGATAGATATCTACTAGGAACACAAAGTGACACCCTCCAAAGTTTCTAACGTCCCCTGAAAGAGTTTGAAACTGATGGATATTTTCTCTTCAAGTAATCAGAGAAGAACCGCTGAAGGTGAAATCCAGCTCTTTCCAAGCGACACTTTCAATTTCAGTAATCGGTGCTAATGTTACCCTGAAGCAAAGGAAATCTGTGAGCTCCCATCACAAGTCCCCAACAAAAGTGTTGTTCAAAATAAGTTGTTTACAAGCCCTTCTAATATTATTTTTCATGAATCTTCTTTTGGCTGCAAGTAAAGAGCAAATTCTTAACGTGGCTTTGGTTTGCACCATCTGCACTTTAACGTGCAAAGATTGTGATGGACCACAAGAATTAGCAAGCACGTCAAATATGCTAATCTGAACATGTATTTAAAACTAGCAGCATGCCACCCCATTCACAGGAATATTATCACATCGATGTGGACACTCAGTACTGTATATCACCGCTGTTAAGGATTCTGTGTGTGTAAAATGAAAACGTTGTATGTTGCCACGAGAGAGACATGAATAATGAAAGATTTCTCTCCAGTCACACACACCAATGCTGCAGCCGCAAACACTGTAACAGAAACTGAGAAGACGCTGTGGTCTATCTAAAACCTAAGAAGAGGAAACGAGACATTTGTGAATGAACACTGGCGGATGTGGATGTCTGAGGACTCTGAGGACCTTTGCTAATCTGCTGCAGCCATTATTCAGGAGTGCTTTTACTCGTTCTCTCTATAGAGCTGGAGAGCACTTAATGCGAGGTCAATTTAATAATGTCTTTTGCTCTTGTTTTATATAATCTACTTAAAGACTTTCTTAAATATAATTCTTCCATTAATAAGGCTTACAGGACATTCAAAGATTCAGTCAAAGCACGTATAAATGGAAATGTCATGCCGCACAACAAGCAATGCTTTTGGGTTCTTCAGACAAGCAGATTTTCTAAATACCTTTTCGGAATTAAATTATAAAACAATACTTGAGGTTAAAGTAAGGAAATATGATCAGTTTTCACTTTATTCAGCATTTGAATCTGTCGGATATGTAACAGGTTGTTGAATACACACCCTTAAATGTGTAACACAACTCTTTTAAAACCTGAAAAATGTTTCATATAAAAGTGGAAGATAAAAACAGCCAGCAGATGTGCAATGTGCAACACCACACACAGCACTCTTGTTCATTTTAAACTCAATCTGAGTAAAGCACTAATCTAAAACAGCTCTTTTCAGGGTGTCTGAAGAATCCGGAAGTGTTGCCGCTAAGCTGTGTTTGTAAACCAGTAATTTCATCTCAACTTGCACCAACAGAGATTTCATCTGTTCATGAACGTTTCAGATCTAAATGGCATATGATGGTGCATTCATGTACACCTAAATAGGATAAATGAGGCCAAATAACACTGCTGATGTGACAACTGAAACCACAAATTTAACAGAGACAGACACAAAACGAACACTAAAAGACAGGTCATCTTAATGAGTAAATTAGCAGCATGATGCAGTGCTCCAATGTGTTTGGAATAATCAGTAATGTACAGCATCAGCAGCACAATCCCACATTCAGATGGTCCTTCACAGATATGCTGGAGTCTGAGGGAGGTGTCAATATAATGTAAACAAGAGGGCGTGACGTCTAGCCTACAAACATCAACATTAAAGCCAATGAGGGAAATCGGATTTCGTGTAATACCCACGACCTCAGCTACAACCTTCTGGCCAGTTGCTTGTCAGTGGCTTGATCTGTCAGTTGAGAATCTGTTACCTCAAAAGCAATGAATAAGCTGGCTAAAAAGAATAGCAGTGCTCGTCAATCGTGACTCATAAAGAGATTCTGTTATTTTCAGTTACTAAAATTAATTTGCCCATGGCATGTGGGACTGTCTCGATAAATAAAAGTGGGAATTTTGCGTAAAACACGCTAGGCCAAGAGCAGAGCTTATTCCCCTGCTTCACAGCCTCCACACCGCAGCATCAACTGTTTATGAACTGAATGTTCCCAGGCTGTAATGAACCGACGCTGCGTCACAGGCAGCCACGCGCCCCGTCAAATGTGGCATTTAACAATCGTATTACAGTCATAGCGGGGTTTTTACCTGGCGCTGGAGTCTGTAGGGAGACCAGTGGGCTTCCCTCCCCTCCCTGAGTACGTGCGCGTCCTCCTTAAATGCTCGAATGGAGCATGGATGGATGGGATAATCGGAGAAGCACGCCTACAGAGAGAGCACAGACTCAAGTGGTCACTACTAGAGTTGTCTCGAAAAGAGGAGTTGTATGATGGACAGGCTGCGATAGTTTCTTACCCCGGGAACCGCGCTCAGACACACCGCAAAGACGACACATGCAGGTTACCCTCTCTCACCCCGTGTCTCCTGCTACAGTCCGCGCCAGGTTCGGTTGGTTCGTCTCCCGCCCGCTCTCTCTGCCCCATAGACGCTCCTGCGTGTGATGCGCGGCGCGAGGAAATCTCGCGAGAGCCGCTGTGTTTACAGGAGATGCGCCTCTTCTGTAGCGCTCTGCGTGGAGGGGAATTCTTTTGGAATTAACAAGATTCCCACAGTCAGGGGAAACCAGTAAATATCAGGAATTTATTTGGTAAAAATCGTGAGAATTAATACAAGCAATCGATTATAAAAGAAAGGGCTTTTCTGAATATACATTTCTCGATATAATATGTCAAATAGCCTATTTAATTAATGTGCTATACTGAACTTGTGCAGATATATTATCGATGTTATTGTTAAGGAAACTAAAACTAATAAAAATCGTTTAGTTTATTGAAATAAAGCTGAATCAAATGAAAAATAAAATGATAAATGTTGCCTTGGCAGCTACCTGAAATAAAATAATTTACCAAAAGTAAAATAGGCCTCTAAACATAAATGTAAAGCTAAATTGCTAAAACGTAAACTGAAATTTAAAATGAAAACTGAAAATTCTAAATGTTACATGACAAATAATATAATAGTAGGCTATAGGCTATATAAATAATACTAAAATATCATTGGTCCATGAGGTCCATGTGCAAGGAAACGTAATGTTAAGATAAAATAATATAGTTCTTAAGATTTCTATGGTGCACAAAAAAGATCCTTGTTATGACTATATGAATTGTATTGACAAATCAGGTAATACTTGTTTTTGTATTTTATGCTATTTTTTGTGAACAGGTTGAGCCATAAATCTGATACCAAGGAAAATGATATCAGTTATTTCAATAAGAACTATAAACTGCTTTTTATTATTGTGCTGAAACAATTAGAGCTATAATCTGATACATACAGTTGCATTTGTCTAGACTCTGGACCTGCTGAAACAAATGTCCCCTTTCCATAAAACACTTCCCACTACGGCCTTGTGGTCAGAGTTGGAACTGCAACACATAAACTCTGAATATTGAAATTATTTGTTGCTATGAAGATAAGTTTCTTATCTATTTAGTTATTTTCCTTATATGTTTGTATGTAGAAAATAATTCATAACACTAAATGACAATTCAAGATTTTAAAGGTGATTAACCCCAATACTGTATATAGTATATTTAATATATTTTATTAGTAGTAGTATTATTTAGTACTGCCCTCAAGGATAAAGTGAGTGCAAATCATGTAAATATCTGTCAAATAGCAAATGCATGACTTTCTTATTTAAAAAAATAAAACATTATTCGCTTTGGTACTGTTTTCACAAGAAAGGTACATTTTCAAAACTCTTAGTACAAAAACCCAATCTTGTATCTATCTTGTGTGTTATGCCATGAGGTTTTGTGCTAGAACAGAGTTTGCTGGCAATACAGTAAATGTTCTCACTGTATACCATATGACTGAATCTATAATGTAAATTGACCTTTACAGTTGAAGGGTAAATTAGCATTCTCTAACCATGGTAATCTGTTTACGGTATCACATGGCATACATACTGTAATGCAAAATGCTGTGTTTGATGCCATCTGTCTCCCTTCTGATGCATCTCTGATCAATCTGAAGTTATAAAGTCATTGACTTTTTCCTCTCCTTTGTACACTATCCTGCTTTTACGTTCACAAATTACTTTCTCTCTCTAACGCACACACACACACACACACACACACATATATATGTGCACACACTTTGAACATAGTGGTTATTATCTATAAATCACTTGTCATTTTTTTTATTAAATTTGGTTATACATATCGGAAATTGCAAACAAGTTCTATAGAAACTATCTATAGAATCAATATTAGAAATATATGGGTGTACTAAATTATTCCATTCAGATAAGTTGGACTAAATAATAGACAAATGTATTAAACTGAACAAGAAGTCAAAAGTTTGATAGTGAGAGCTTTATGAAAGGTATGTTACTGTGAATGATTCATAAGATATGGGTAAAACACTTTTATTTTGTGCTGGGATATTTTGTGCTGTGAAAGGGATACTTTTTGATTTTATGTACTGTACTGTCACTATTGAAAATATCTCAAATGTTTGAAAAAGGTGCTTTTGATGATCTGTTGTGATATAACCACGACGATTTTTGAAAGTGTACACCTAACTTGTGGGGGGAAAAATCTTATTTTTTGGTTTTCCGTCTCATTTACTTTTCTCTTCATTAAATACATAAGGACCCAGGGTAATTCTCACATTAGAACTCTGCACTTTTCAAAGCATAACATGTTAACCACAGCTGCTGTGGCCCACAGTGTTTGGCCAGGTATCACCTGGGCATCGCTGAAATGGATTATTTCTTGATCCCACTGGACAAAGTGCACAGCATTTCCGTATAAAGCTGTTTTGTGAGTCGTCGGCCCTAGGCTCTGGCCTCAGTTCAGCCCCATGCCCACGATGACTGTTCCAGATGGTGGACGGAGGTAAGGCCACAGTCCTGTGCTGTGACACAGGTGGGGAAAGGCCTGTTTAAACCCACAGGAAAGCAGGCCTGGCAGTCACCCCCTCCCCATACCTCCATCAGCTGTCCATACTTACAGAGGAAGACCATAGTTTCCACACTATACACTTGGGACACTGCATACACATGGGTTTGCTTGAAAAAGTCTGTTACATCAAGAAACTAGGTGAGAAACTTGTGAAGTTACAGAGAAAAGCTGATATTTAATGATGATAAACATTTCGTGTCACTGTGTCAGCATAGATAGATAGATAGATAGATAGATAGATAGATAGATAGATAGATAGATAGATAGATAGATAGATAGATAGATAGATAGATAGATAGATAGATAGATAGATAGATAGATAGATAGATAGATAGATAGATAGATAGATAGCCGTTTGTAGGTCAACACTTTAATGTAGGTGTATCTTGCTTTTCTTGTCATCCATCAATCTGGGACCACATTAGTCACTTGAATGCTGTTAGGTGAACCAGAATGGACATTTCTGGCCGTATGTTTCCCCATCGGAAACAGATAAAGCTGTCCTGCACACCTTTGACTGTGGCTACAGCTGCTCTGCCTGATCTCATGTGTCATCTCTGCTTACAGCTGCCTCTCACTCCATCCAGGCCCACATACGGGAGGCTCCAGCGACCACTGACGTGGACACACATGAAAGTGGCTATGGACAAATCTCCTGAGCTTCCCTGTCGTCCTAGAACCTTCTCTGGGTTCAGCTGGCAAAGTGCCCTTTCGTCCATTGGGAAGGGTCAGTGTGAGGTGGGGACTGAGTGGGCCTGGGAAGGGGGAGCGATTAGGTGAGGTAAAAGTGCAGGCGGAGGTCTTATACCTCAGGACGGGGGAGGGGGATGTACGTCTGTGCTGCCCGTCGGGAAAGGGGTGAATGCGAATCTGTATATGTGCATGTGAGAAAAGAGGATTGCATATGAAATCCCCATATTACCTTCCCCTGATCAGGTGGAGCCGTATGGGACATTTGTGTTTATGTATGTGTTAAAACATTTATTATGTTCTCAGATGTTAATTTTGTGAAAGAATGATTAATGGTCAGTCTTAGCCCTTATCCCGGAGCATCTTTGAGAGTCTGTGGGGACTGGGAGGAACAATTATTTCTTAGGAAACAATTAAAAAGAAAGGCCGTTGAATCTCAGGATCAATCAGGTCAAGTCACTTAACTTCTGACAAACACAGCATCTTTATGTAAAATAGGGTCAATCGTCCCCTATCTTGAGGTCAATTGTCCTTTACATACAGTATTTTCATTACAGTCCACAAACATTTAAATTAAAGCATCTAGATGAGAAATGTTATGATTGAGTCTTATAGTGATGGGAAAATAGCAATTAATCAATTTTAAATAGAGGCTGTATATTGTGAAGGTGAAGGCTATTGTATGTGATAGGCTTTATAATTGAATATAATTTATGTACACTGAGCAGATTTCAAATGTGCCCAAGACAAATTCCAGTGTATATGCCATAGTAAATAACAAAGTTGTTGTGAATGAGGTTTATTCTTGCCTATTTATTAAGAAAATCTTATTAAAGCCGAAATTATCAGCCGCTGTAGCATCAAATTCATTGACAATCAATCATTCACCACACTATCTAGATAGTCAGCTTGCTTGAATTTCAGTCAAATACAGGCTATTTTCACTGTGTACAAAGCATTCAATACGCTTCAAATGCTTAAATGGACACCACTTTAAAGACAAGACAAGGCAGACTATGAATGAATGAATGAATGGGTTGATAAATCCCAATGGGATGGGAATGGGATGCAAAATCCCAAGCATGAATGAGATGATGAATATCATTTTGGCTTTAATAAAATTTAGCTTATAATCATCTGGCTTTTCGAGATGGTTCTCACTGCGGAACATGAAATCCACTGGGAGGAGTCAGATCCAGATCCAACCCCTCCCACCTTACATACACCTAAACCTACCCAACTCCGCCCCCTGATCCGTAAACCCAACCCAAATCCTATCCATCTCCTCCCCGTGGATCTCATGTACTGCACTGAGGTGCTACTGAGCTTTTCCTTCTGTCATTGATTGATTGATTGATTGATTGATTGATTGATTGATTGATTGATTGATTGATTGATTGGTTGGTTGATTGATTGATTGATATTTTTGTGTTGATTGATTTTTTTATGTGAGCCGGTTTCCTGTGTATGACAGAGCCATGTCTGCACATATCCACGCCTGGAAGACTCATTCATTTTTCTAACAGAGCTTTAAATGTGTTGATTTTGTTAAGCAGTGGCTCTTCTGCTGTGCTCTGTGTTGGATGTGGTGGCCTCTGGCAGGTCTGCTGGATGAGGAAGGCAGTCTCTCACTGCCCCCAGCCAGTGCAGCTGTTACTTGGGTGTGACATCTGGGCTTGATAAATAGTCATGATGCCAGCGGTGCCCTAAACACCCCTAGGTGCCACACACTACATCCATGCCACACCCCCCGCACATCCTACTTTTCCAGATGCATGCTAGGGTACCACAGAGTGCCATCCAACCTCACCGCCTCACAGCCAAGGCTCTCAGACTGGCAGCCAAGCCATATGTCA